ATTTCAGAAGAACTTCGTCACATTGCTAATCAGATAAAGTAAAAAGATCTTTTTAATGTAATTAACCTGAAAAAGCAAATGAACATATCTCAATACTTATTGTATTACATACTCCCAATGATATCCACCAGCACGAGCTTTACGCCCTTTGCAAACTTTTCCAATATATGATCCATCAATTCCAGTTATGCGTTGTGCTTCAGATATGGATCGAAATTCATGAGTAGAGCCATCATCGAAAATCTGTTTGATAGCACGTCGACGACGGTTGCCCCAAAGGCCTAGGTGTACAGCGTGTTGAGAGTTTCCTTTCGGGGTACGCCATTCAAGATTGGATTCATTATTGTTAGTAGAGTCACCATCAATATGATTTTTGTATTCTTTGCCTTTTTCTTTTAGACAAAATGCTAATGCTACCAAAATTATAATTTTACTTCCACTTATTATCCAATTTGAAAAGTAATTTTTCCTCCGCATTTTTGGTAATATCGATCTTTGGCTTGTTTCATAAATGATCCACCTGGTCGATAGAGCCACTTAATTACTGTGTGCTGGATTATTTTAGCAGAATTAATTTGTTTTTTCCATAAACGATATATCTTCTGGATAATTATGGATGCACGATTTTTTTTTATATAATTCTAGATGAACTTTAAAATCCCTATATTTAGGGTCATTACCTATTTGCTTATGGCTGATCAAATTATTTTTGATACGAAAAACAAAATTTTCCCAGTAATCTCTACTATTTATTTCATATCCTGGTTTTAATAAACGCTTGCGTACATACTTTGGTGGATAATATTTTGCAAACCGTAACCATGTTTCTGATGTTTTAATATTAGCAATATAGCTTACACCGTATTCACTTAACCTATCTCGCACTCTGATATAACTCATTATATATTTGCTACTTATTTCATACGTATCTAATATAGTTTTAACTGTCACTTCGTATTATGAAATAATGAGCTCCGCTCTAATTTCGCAAGGTAAAATTCTCATGTGTTTTATTATGATAATATATTTAATTCTTCACTTTTAAATCCGTATTAATAAATAATAATTTTGCATTTACAATGACTGAAGCTAATAGAAAGTCTGTGATAAACGAAGCAATTGTCAAAGATAATATCAGCAGAGCTGACATGGCCAATGCTATCTTGTCTCAAGAACTACGTGAATGTATCGAAACAGTAACAAAGTCTTTAATAGAGCAACAGAATACTATTGGAGATAATATGTATTTGTAGGCAAATATTCGATAAAAAAATCTGGATTTCTCTTCACTAATTACTGGAGATAGTAAAACCAGAGGTTCAGTAAGATATTATAAACTCGATAACAAACTCGGGTATTCCTCGAAGAAATCATACACCATGCAAGGCTAAAAGAAAGTGTAAAGCTAGAAAAAAACTTATTTTTAATGATACTACATCTGAGTCCTCATCCTCGTCTTCATCTGAATCTGGGTCTGGGTCTGGGTCCGATTCTGAATCGTCTAGCTACAAAGTGACTACCTCCAGCAATGATGATAAAAATTTTACTGTGAATTTGGTGAAAGCGAAGAAGCGTAATTAATTACTATCATCATAAAGGCGGAATGGTCTCACTTCTTTGGGTTTTTGTCTTCGCTTTCTGTAAATGACTATAACATAATTCTGAACCGGAGAAGTGTGGTTATTTGAGCTGTGTCGTAAACACTCTCCAGCAATTGTATAAGCATGGGCCATATTCTTAGCCTCATGTGCTACCACACCATAAGTGGCACCCATTTTTCGTAAGTATTTGAGAATTAGATCATAATCTTTTAAGAATATTTGAACCACTTAACTCCTGACTTATTTGGATTACCCATACGTCCAGAAGATATAGCCTTTTTAATCCAGGTAAGCAATTCCTTAGCACGTTCTTGATCCTTCTCCATGGATCTAAATTTCATAGGGATATCTGGTTGACCCCGATTTTTCGCATATCCTGTTACTCCAGCATCTGTAATATGCAAAGTTGTAAGTTCAGCAGGATGAATACAAAGCATTACTATGATATCAGCAAAAGCCCAATAATTGGGTGAAGTTTTTAAATCATACGCATCTAATCTCTCTTTGACTGATTTTAATGTAAATTTATCTGGATAATTAATAGGATTAGCTTCAGATTTTTTCTGATTATCCTTTTGGATTTTGTTAGCTTCTTCTGTAATATCTGGGGATTTCGTGGCCTCAATTATTTGAAATGGGGCATTAAGATTTCTTAACTCTCTACGAAGCCGAGAAAGGCATGATGAACCTGCGTTGGCATTTTTTTCTGATAGGGCTAAGGCAAAGGCTTCAGCTCTTATATCCCAAATACTAAGCTTATCCCATAAAAGCTGATGTGCCATCTCTTCAATTGTTTCTCGTGAGACCCAATCTTTCAAAGAAAGGAGACTTTGTCTCTTAGAAATAACAATGTTTACTGTGGAACAGGGCACTTTGTGCATGGTTTTGCATTTTGGTTGAACATTTTTCTGAATAGAGAATAAGTTATCCACTTGACCCTCACTAAATCCATATCTATTTTGCAAAATTTGTTTTGCTTTCTCTCTGATGATCTCTTCTTCCGAACTTTTTGAGGGCTTGGTTACAACTATTCTACAACTACTTTCAACTAAATTTATAATTTTATTTTCCCCACCCCTCTGATTCAGTATTAATATACTTATCTGATCATCACTAAATTTAAAACCATCTCGAAGGCGTCTGCGTGCCTGATTCCACTTTCTATCATAACTTAGATTCTTGAGAAACTCTGAGGTGTATTGAATGAGATTGGTCGCACTCATCTCGGAACTGAGATTATATTTTTCTATGATTTTAGTTGTGATGGCAGACATTTTTGAATGTTATAATAGGTCAAGTAGTTTATGAACAGTACTTTAGGTTATATACACTATAAAAATATTTTTTCAAATCGAAATTAATTATCCTTTTTCTTCCCATGTTCAGAAAACGAGAGTATATGTGTTACGTATGGGTAACCGGGATGTCAATTTGAAATTTACTATTCATATGATATAACGAAAAAAAAATTATAGCTTTGGAGTTGCGACCCAGGCTATACGTATTAAGGTTTACAATTCATTTTATTTTTTTTATAATTCTGGAAATAGATTCCGGTATGTTTCTATACTTATAAACCACTTCTTATAAATATCAGGTCTATTTTCCATTATATCAATCGGTGTTACCATAGCTGAATGGGACAGAGCATTCACGAATCTAATTTGCTCTGTATAATAATAATCCATAATACTGTATCTGGTAATTGTAAAAATTCGGCTAAATCTTTTACATACCTAAAACCATTGCGCATTAGTTTGCGGAATGTTGGCCCATTGTGATCGATCTCTCTCTTGGTTAATAAGTTGACTACTTTCTGGGGTGTTTCCATTGGGAGATACTAGTTATGAAAATGATAATAGTTGATTGTTACTTATGAAAATGATAAGTTTAATTGAATGTTTTTTCAAAGACTCAGATTATGTAGGGCGAAGCCCATTGCTTTGCAATAGGAATAATGGATGATAGTGGCAGAGCCCCATTGCTTCGCAATAATACTTATCTAGTAAATTAGTTTGCATATACAGATATTAAGCACGCAGAGTTTCTCTTATACACTTCTGTTTATAGTATTTATACGCTCTTTCCCTGCCTTGACCACACGGGACACAAAGCTGGAGACTCGATTTGGTCCCTCGTCTACTTCCTTTACATGGTTGGGGGATTATTACACCCTTTCGAATTTTGAATGCATGGGAAGCGCAATATTGCCCCTTTGCTGGGTTTTTACATAAATTGATGTCTCAACTAATAACCAATTACAAGGCATCTTATATGTCTTGACACTAGCTCCGCTATTATTCTATATTCACTTTCATATTTAAAATCAAAGATGAGGATAGAGAATTAACTAAATTTTACCAAATATTATTTTTAGGCGTCACAAAAACTAGTATATATAACAGAGTTTGCGTAATATTTTTTTTTATCTGAAAATTTTATATTAACTAGTTTGTA